CCTAGCCTCAGTTTCCCAGGAAGAAAAGGAGTTAGTTTGTTGGTTGGTGTGTTTAAGTGTTAAGCATGTTCATATTGTTGTGAAACGAACCCCCAGAATGTCCTTGTTTAGTGAAACGGAAGCCCTGGCCCATTGAAGGACTCCCTCCCCTCTCCCCAGTCCCCGCACCCTGCATTCTGCTCTCAATGTCTATGAATCTGGTGACTCTAGGGACCTCATGTGAGTGGACTCAGACAGGATTTGTCCTTTTGCAACCGGCTCCCGTCACTCAGGATGATGTGTTTTTAACGTGTTCATCCACGTTCTGGTATGCATCCGAAGTTCCTCCCCTTTTTTTTTTTTTTTTTTGAGACGGAGTTTCGCTCTTGTTACCCAGGCTGGAGTGCAATGGCGCGATCTCGGCTCACCGCAACCTCCGCCTCCCGGGTTCAGGCAATTCTCCTGCCTCAGCCTCCTGAGTTGCTGGGATTACAGGCACGCGCCACCATGCCCAGCTAATTTTTTTTTTTTTGTATTTTTTTTAGTAGAGACGGGGTTTCACCATGTTGACCGGGATGGTCTCGATCTCTTGACCTCGTGATCCACCCGCCTCGGCCTCCCACAGTGCTGGGATTACAGGCTTGAGCCACTGCGCCCGGCCGTTCCTCCCCTTTTAAGGCTGAATAACATTCCATGGTGTGCATAGAACACATTTTGTCTGTACATCATCTGCTTTTTGGTGGGTTTTGCTGTTGTTTTTTCTGAGAGAGGGTCTTACTCTGTCACCCAGGCTGGAGTGCAGTGGTCCGATCTCAGGTGACTGCCTTAACCTCCTGGGCTCAGGTGATCCTCCCCCTTCAGCCTCCCAAGTAGATGGGACTATAGGCACACGCCACCACACCCAGCTAACTTTAAATTTTTTTTTTTTTTTTTTTTGTAGAGGCAGGGCCTCCCTATGTTGCCCAGGCTGACCTCAGACTCCTGGGCTCAAGCAGTCCTCCTGCCTCAGCCTCCCCAAGAACCGGGATTACAGGTGTGAGCCACCATGCCTGGCTTTTTCATCCTCTGTTGGTAGACACTTGGGTTGTGTCTACCCCTTGGCTGTGGTGAATAATCTTGTGCACATGAGTGTGCAAATCCCTCTTCAAATCCCTCCTTTCAGTTCCTTTGGGTGTGTACCCAGAAGCGGGGTTCTGGGTCACATGGAAGTTCTGTCTTTAATTTTTTGAAGACCCGCTGCACTGTTTTCCACAGCGCTTGCCCCGTTTTTCACTCCCACCAACGGGGCACGAGGGCCCAGTTTCCCACGTGCTCCCCAACTCTCGTTACTTTCTTTTTCTTGTTTGCGCAATTGTCACCCTCATGGGCATAAAGTGATGGCTCCCTGTGATTTGGGTTGGCATGCCTCTGGTGGGCAGTGGTGTGGGCATCTTTTCCTCAGCTTCTTGGCCATTTGCATTTGTTCCTGAGAATTGTCCATTCAAGTCCTTTGCCCATTTTTTTTTCTTTTTTTTTTTTTGAGACAGAGTCTTGCTCTGTCGCCCAGGCTGGAGTGTAATGGCGGATTCTCGGCTCACTGCAGCCTCCGCCTCCTGGATTCAAGTGATTCTCACGCCTCAGCCTCCCGAGTAGCTGGGACTACAGGTGCGCACCACCATGCCCAACTTTTTTTTTTTTTTTGTATTTTTAGTGGAAATAGGGTTTCATTACGTTGGCCAGGATGGTCTTGAACTCCTGACTTTGGGTGGTCCTCCCGCCTTGGTCTCCCAGAGTACTGAGATTACAGGTGTGAGCCACCACACCCGGCCCCTTTGCCCATTTTTAATGGTGGTATTTGACTTTTTATTGTTAAGTTGTAAGAGTTCTTTATTCTGTCTGGGTAGAAGGCCCTTATCATATGTAAGATTTGCAAATATTCTCTCCATTACTTGGGGAGGCCTAGGCAGGAGGGTTGCCTTTTCACTGTTAGTGTCCTTGGATGCACAAACGTGCTCGTGATTAATGTGCTTCCACCTGGGTTTTGCTTCTGTGACCTGTGCTGTCGGTGTTCTGTCCAGGAAACCTTTGCCATTTCCAAATCCCCGTACTTTCTTCTAGAGGTTCTGCAGCTATAGATCGTACCCTTACGTCTTTGTTCCATGTCTGTTTGGTTTTTGGACATGATGTATGGGAAGTGGCCAGCTTCCCTCTTCTGCACGTGGCTACCAAGTCTTCCCAGCACCGCTTGTTGGAAACTGTTTCCACGTGAGTGGTCCCAGCGCCCTTGAGATCACGTGACCACATACGCGCGGGTCCTTTGACTTCATTTCCTGCAACTTTGCTGACTTTTATAGTTTGGGCAGATTTTTTGCGTGGAATCCTCAGGATGTGGAAAGGTTTTAAACAAAACCTGACCTAGGGCCCTTCCTGTTGATCTTCCCCAATTCTGTGACTCCATCCACAGCCAGGAGTTCCAACTTGCATCTGGGGCTTTCACAGCTCTGTGCTTCCATCTGTGTCGTGCACACGTGTCCTCCTTGGCCAACTGGTCAGAAGATGGCACTGAGGCCGAGTGGGCCAACCCCCGTGGGCACTGGGAGATGCCGTTCCCACCCAAGCCTGACTGACTGGACGTCCATGTTTTGGATGTCCTCACTCATCCTGTCACTCTCCTTATGGGTCCCCACTCGGAAAAACTGAGGACTGGCCCTGCTCCGCTGCTTCAGTGGAGGAAAATCGGAGATGTCTCAACAACCAGTGATTCTGTGGACTTAGAGAGGCCCCTGGGTTTACCCAGACCCCCATCGCTTTGCCGGGATGTAGGTGTGGCCCCTGTGTTCCTCCTTTGTTCAGGGACTGTTTCTTGGGCCGGACTGTGCACGGGGTACGGGGGAGACCCAGACCCAGCTGACTGCGTCCTCGCTGAGCTGCTGGAGCTGGGAAGGATGGGACCGCTTCTTTCCTTCCACCCGTAAACACCGACCCTGTCACTGAGCCGAGTGACAGGTAGTTGTCTGAACATGGATCCACAATTGGAGGGCTGCAGATAGGTGCACTTTAAAAATCATTTTTTCTGTTTGAAAGTGAGATTGGCTTTGAGCCCCGAGCTCCTCCATAGGCTGTCTAAAATTAGAACCCCGTTGGCAAGGCAATCTTTGTCAGGGGCCTGCGGCTTGCACCAGGGAAGCAGGGAAATGTCAACAGTACATCTTCCATGTCAATTTTGAGTTTTTTAAGAGGCCTGGGTAAATGGTAACTTAGAGCAAATTGCACTGTTTCCAAAGCTTTAAGAATCTAGCCCCTCGGCGGCCATGTGATTAAAGTGTCAGGTTTATGAGGAGCTGCTCCTGTGGTTGGGAGAGTGGCCTCTGCCCTCCTTCCTACAGGCGCATCCCAGCGGGAGCTGGACAGGGCGGGCCTGTCCGCTGTCTGGGGTCCTGCAATCCGCTGAGCTCGCCCCATTCCATTTGTGAGCTCTGTGGTCCCAGGGCTGAGCACTCAGGTCTTCCCTTAGGAGCCAGTGGGTTCAAGGGTTTTGGCATGCACCCGAACCAAGTGTGCCAGGAAAATCACATCTCCTGCGCAAGGAGCCCCCCGCGCTCCTGTGGCCTCCATGTGGCTGAGCACTAGCCTGGTGTGCAGGTGTGCGGGACACACCCTCCCAAAGACACCTGCTGTCCTCCACAGAGCCTCCTGTGCCCAGGCCCACTCCGTGCCTCTGGGAGCCTCGGTGTCTGCTCAGCCTGCAGACTTTATAGACAGCGTTTCCACCATTGCATGGGCTGTGGAGGGATAAGATGAAACTTGGCCTACGAGCATGTGATAATTGGCACTCATTTCTGCAGGGTCTGGGGTCACCGTGTCTTTCACACTCAGATATCCACAGCCCCGCCGGCCTTTCTCTCCTGCCTCCCACCACGTCCGCTGCCCAGTGCTGAGCCTTTTGCCCTCACCTGGAAGGCCCGTCCCGCTCTGCCTGCCGGCCTGGTCTGGCGTCCCAGGCAGGGGTCTTGCTTTCCAGCACCTTCCCCTCCCAGAACATGGTTGTGCCTACAGCCAAGCCAAGTCCTGACGGGCAGAGGCTATGGCTGTCTTCAGAGTCCTGCGCCGGGCCGGGGCTGACCAGATGGTGGTGATGGGCTCCTTGGACAATGAGCTTGGCACCTACACTGGCTGTCCCCGTCCCCGATGCCTCTGTCCCCACCAAGCGCAGACAGGGTGGTGTCCTCTGCGCCGTGCTGCTGCCTTACCCCTGCCCCTCGCAGACATGTCTCAGAGCTTCTGAAACATAAAGCCAGGCTCCCAACCCCATCTTACAGACAAGGAACGGGGCCATAAGGAGGGTGAGACATTGTCCCAGGTCCCTGCTGTGAACCCTAAAACATAGGTCTATATCCTAACTCGCCAGAACCCGTGAATTTGGCCTTATTTGGAAATGGGACCTTTGCAGGTGTAGTTAACGTCAGGGTCTCCAGATGACATTATCGAGGGACAGGGAGGGTCCTAAATCCAGTGGCACGTGTCCCTAGAAGACATAGAGACACAGAGGGAAGGCTGTGAGGGCTGAGGCAGAGATGGCAGCGGTGCAGCCACAGGCCGAGGACACCTGGAGGTGCCTGGGAAGTGGAAGGGCCCTCTCCGGCACCTGCAGATGGAGCGGGGCTCGCCTGCACGGTGATTCTGGATTTTGAGCCTCCAGAACCAAGAGAGAGTTTCCTGCTATCGTTTTCAGCCACCAGCCGTGGTCATTGGCTATGACAGACAGGAGGCTGACCCAGTCCTGTGGAAGAGCTGAGGTCTGCAGACAGCAAACCTGCCATCTCCACTCCCAAAGGTGACCCCTTCCTTCTCCTTAAACAATTCGAGAGCAGCTGGAGGGAGCTCTCCTTGGAAGACCCCATTTCTTGGTGGCAGTCCAGCTGCGACCCCAGGCCAGCTGATAGTCACAGTGCAGCAGGAGCTGTCCACCAGGAGGCGGTGGCCAGGGCCTGGACCTCAGCCATCCGGCCTGGCCACATCTAAGCCATGACCTCGTCCCTCAGGTCCGGGCTATGCGGCTGTCCTTTGTCGGAGAGCTGGGCTGGGAGCTGCACATTCCAAAGACGTCCTGTGTGCCTGTGTACCGGGCTGTGATGGCTGCTGGTGCCAAGCATGGACTCGTCAATGCAGGGTACCGTGCCATCGACTCCCTGAGCACTGAGAAAGGTGAGTGCAGGGTCTGGACGGCCCCGGGCGGCGGGTGGGGGCGACGCTCGAGACACCTGGAGGCCGAGAAGCTGTTTGCCTTCCCTATGTCGTCACCTGGCTGCCTTCTTCCCACACGGTGATTTCCTGCCCCACACCCCAGCACCTGGCTTCCTCCATTTCCCAAACCCTCTTGCTGCCCAGGGTCTTCACGCAGGGCTCCAGGGATGGTATTGGGATCAGCGACACCTGCACACACCTGGGCTCAGAGCTGAGGCACTGCCTGGCACCTGGGGGGCAGGGCCAGGTTGGGTAGGAATTGGGTGCCTTGGTTTTCCTGAGAGCTGTGAAGAATGGCCCAGGGGAGCAGGTGCTATGGCCTCTGGAGGAAGCCCAGACTCTTGCCCAGGGCGAGGATGGAGGCTCAGAGTGGGTATCAGGCAGCTCCCTTTGGTGTTGGGCACCCAGCTTGGGCATCAGGCAGCTCCCCCTTCATGAGCCCCTCCCTGATGCCCCCACCTGAGGGTGCAGAGGGCTGCAGTGCTGACGGGCAGTCTGCTGGGGGGCTTGCCTGGGGAACCTTCTGGGGTTGGGGACGCCCCGCCTCCTCCTGGGTTGCCTGGGTGACTAAGCAGCTCTGAGGGTGTGGGTGGGGGCTGCAGGGGTGGGCTTGGGCAGCATCCTCATGCATCTTCTAAAGGGCTTACCCCTCAAGGTGGCATCGACCCCATGGCTTCCCTTCCCGCAGGCTACCGGCACTGGCACGCGGACCTGCGGCCGGACGACAGTCCCCTGGAGGCAGGCCTGGCCTTCACCTGCAGGCTGAAGTCGCCTGTACCCTTCCTGGGGCGGGAGGCGCTGGAGCAGCAGCGGGCCACGGGCCTCTGCCGACGCCTGGTGTGCTTCACCGTGGAGGAGTGAGTATCCCGGTGCCCCACGCCCGCCCGGAAGCAACTGCCCATGGCCAGGGCAGGCAGGCGCTGCTCAGTCCCCCAGTCTAAGGCCCCTGGCACCAACACTTCCCATGTGTCAGCCATGCTCTTCCAGAACGCACCCGACAGCCCAGTGCAGACAAGAAAATCAAGGCCAAAGAGAGAGGCCATCTTGCCAGCCGCTCCCATGCTGTTAAAGGCAGAGCTGAGCTGATCCTGGGTGCTGGGCAGGCTGTCGCGTAAGAGGCAGAGCCCAACAGGCACCCAGGGAGAAGCGCAAAATTGCACATGGTGGGGACCCCTCCCAGGCCATCAGGGCATGTGGGGACACAGGGAAGGCTCCATGCTCTTCAAACGAAGGTCTCAAGAGAGAAGGGTGCAGTCCAGCCCAGCCCAGCCCTCTGGGGTGGGTCTAGGCCGAGGGACTTGGGAGGGTGAGCCCAGGGAACCTGGCCTCCCAGTCACTGTGCCACCACCTCCCGTCCTCTTCCGGTTCAGTCCTCCCCACAGCCCTTCGATGCGGAGAGAGGGGCTTGGCTGGGGCCACCATCCCCACTTACAGATGGAGACCACACAGTGCCAAGGGGCAGGGACTCGTGCCGAGTCACCTGGCAGAGGCGGAAGGGGAGACCCTGCCTGGGGACACCCTGACCACCTGCTCTACCCACGGAGAGTGACTTTGAGCACGCTGCTGGCAGCCTGGCGCATGTGCTCCCTGGGCCCCTGGGAGAGTTTGGATTCCAGGAACCTGAGTCCCAGCTGGGTTGCAGGGTGGTCTGAGATCAGGCCCTGCTCCCAGTCCCTCCTGTGGTGCCGGCGGGGGTCCGAGGTGCAGGTCTCTGGGGAAGTGGGCAGCTTTAGGCTCTGTGGACATGGAGCTGACAGCCAGCCGCAAACACTGCCACTTCTCCCAGATTTCTGGAGCCTTCATGAGGAGTGTCAGAGTGATGAGGGTGGGGGCAGGGAGGATGAGCGAAGCCGCGTTGTCCTTGTCCTGCGGCTTCTCCCGGGGTGCCCGTGGGCTCTGCCTCCCGCTTGACAACGCGTCCAGCGCCCAGGATCGGTTCAGCTCTGGGAGAGGAGGCCCCTTGCACAGGGCAGCGTCCCTGGGTCCTTTCTGCCTGCTTGGCCCTGACCTTCTGACCCTCCATGAAGCACGTGAGGACTCGGGGACCTCACGTGGAGGACGAGAACTAGGGCGAAACCAAAGATATTTACAAAACCTCCTTCCAGCCTCGCCCTAATCCGATTGACAAGTGGGACCCAAACAGCGACTCCAGTCTGTGGATGCAGGAGGCGGCCTCAGCCTCAGCCCGGCCCTTCTACGCAGTGACCCCTTTGCACAGCTGCAGCCGCGATCACCCGTCACCCAGAAATCTGCAGACTGGCCACAGAGTGTTACCAGTTAGCCCTGGGTGCTGGCCTTTCTGTGATTTTAGCTTACTTTTAAATCTGTCTTCCTGCTTTCAATTTTTAAAAATTGTGCAGTGAGCATTCCTATACCACAGGCAGTAAAGTCATGTGAATAAAGTATGTATTGTGCTGCGAAAAACAGCAAACCCAGCTGGGCACACTGGCCCACGCCTGCAATCCAGCCCTTTGGGATGCCAAGATGGGCAGGTCACTTGAGGTCAGGAGTTCGAAACCAGCCTGGCCAACATGATGAAACCCCGTCTCTACTAAAAATGCAAAGATTAGCCAGGCATGTGGTGGGTGCCTATAGTCCCAGCTACTCCGGAGGCTGAGGTGGGAGAATCGCTTGAACCTGGGAGTTGGAGGTTGCAGTGAGCCGAGATCGCGCCACTGCACCAAAAAAAAAAAAAAGAAAAGAACCAGAGTAGAGCGAGCCACAATCGTGTTTCACATTTGAATCATTCAGAAGATCAGCGGAAGGAAATCGGAAGCAGGGCCTCTCCCAGATACATGGAGCTCGCTTCCGGAAACAGCAAAGTCCGCGCCTGGTTTTGATGTTCTCTATTCATTCATTTTACTCACTCAAAGCCTGAGCCCGGGTGTCCGGCCAGGTACTGGGCTGGCTCTGGGGACCGGCAGGGTCCTAGCAGGCCAGCCCTATCTGCGTGGAGCCACGGATGGGTGGGCACCCCGCAGCCCTCCGTTCTCCTCCAGGCCACTGTGGACGTGTCCCCACCCCGTGGTTTCTGGGTCCCAGCTTTCTCTACTGCTTCTTCCAGCAAAGTACCCATGTTCGGCCTGGAGGCCATCTGGAGGAACGGCCAGGTGGTAGGCCACGTCCGGAGGGCAGACTTTGGGTTCGCCATCGAGAAGACCATTGCCTACGGTTACGTCCGCGACCCCAGTGGCGGGCCGGTGAGTCCCCTTCTCTGGCCTTGCTGAGGCTAGCACTGATCCCTCCCCAGCTCCAAACCAGCTCCCTGCACCGTGGCCTGAGTGTGCTGGGCACAGGGAGGAGGCACAGGTGGGGCCCAGAGGAGGAGGAGGGAAGAGAAAGAAGAATGGAGGGAGTGGGGAGGGGGGGAGGAAGATGGAGGGAGAAGGAGGAAGGGGGGGAGGGAAAAGGGAGAAAGAAGGAGGAGAAAGAACAGGGAGAGGGAGAAGGAGGAGGGGGAAGGAGAAGGTGGGGGAAGAGGCCTCAGCAGGTGGAGGACTCCCCAGCTCTCTGTTTTCTTTCTGGAAGAATCTGACTTGGTGGTTCCAGGCTTCCCTTGGTTAGAAGGAGGTGCCGGCTGGCCAGGCTGGCTCTTGACACCAAAGACCCAAACCTTAAGCCATCCATGGCTCACCCTTTGCCTGGGGTGCAGGGGTGGCCCCCAGGGTGACCAGAGACTTGGAGACCCATGTTCCTACCCTCCTCTCTTTTCTCACACGGACACCCCCGACCCCAGGCAACCCCACGCCCACCAGGTGACCCTGACCCCTGGATGCAGGAGGCAGGAGCAGGCTGGAAAGAACAGGGTGGCCAGGAGTGGCGGGGCAGGCGGCGGGCGGCCTCCTCAGCAGGGGAAGGGGTGGTCTGTACCTCCTTTTCCCATCTTTCTGACCCTTGGAAGTGGAGGCGCCATTGAGCAGGGTCACGTCTCTCCACGGGAGATGATCTGACATTTGGCCCAAGCCCCAGTGAGGCCGGGAGGTGCTGGCCTGGCTCCAGAGCCTTCCAGCCTGAGCCCCTGACGGACACATGGAGGGAGTCAGGGAGGGAGGGAGCACTTGGGAGAAGCCAGGAGGAGGGGCAGCCTGGAGACAGACCAGCCTTAGCAGGAGCTGCAGGGATGTGCAAGCCCAGCTCGCAGGCCCGGGGGGGCACTGCCAGGCATTGGGCAAGGCCATGGTCCTATGGAGCCGTGGAGAAGTGGCAGCCCATGGGACTGACTCCTGCGGTGGAGCTGGGAGGCTCAGGACACAGTCAATGCCACCAGCCGTTGGGACCTGCCATTTGCTTGCTTTGTGACCTTGACAAGGACCCCCTCTTGGGGCCTTGGTTTCTTCATCTATAAAATGTGGACAGACACCCACCTACCACGCAGGTTCATCGTACAGGCCACTGCCCAGAGTGGGGTCCTCTTCATAAGCGGGGATTGTGATGGCAGGCAGGACCTCCTGACACGGCCCTGGGGCCCAGCCAAAGCGGAGTTTATGGGCTCCATGCCAGGGTGGGCTGGGGAGTGCAGGCCCTTTCTTCAATGCTCGCCTCTCTCCCGAGTCAGGGATGGGTCCCTCACCAACGTGACCAGGGCAGCCCAGGTTACACGGCATCCAGACGACAGCCGGGGGCCTGGGGAGAACCAGCCGATGCAGCCGGAGCCGCCAGTGCACGTCCCCCGCCCTCTCTGCCAGGGCTGCCCAGAGCGTTTGCACTGTGGAAACAGGCAGATGCCACAGTCACGCCCGCCCCACCCCAGAGCTGGTTGTTAAACGTTTTCTAGCACCCCAGGGGGTAACAGGTTTCTTCCTAAGACAGGGAAACCTGCTCATTGGTGGGAAAGGCTCGAGGTGGGGAAGGAGCTCCAGCCTCGTGGGTGCTTGTTAGCAAGGCCAGGTGCCCGCTGTGAGTTGTACCTGCCTGTGGACGTTTGAAGGCCACCAGCTCCCTGTGCTGCCTGCGGGTGGGGGTCAGCTCCGAGCTGCCCATCCTGCAGGCACACACACGGCTCAGGAGCGCCACTCCTCAAGCTCCTGTCACAAAACAGCTCAGTTTGTTTTTCATTTTTCATCTAGTCCTGAGCTGCCAGGAACAAGAAGGAGCCCTCTGACTCCCAGAGCAGAGCCGGAGACTCCTTCCTGTGGTCCCAGCCTTGGCTTTAATTGCTGTACAGGGAGAACAGTGTCCCTGAGCGGCCCAGCCTGCCCTCCTCATAGTGGCCGTGGCAAAGAGGAGGGCAGGCCGGGCTGGTGCCGTGATATCCAACCCGGTGTCACCAGCTGTGCCAGGCTGGACATCACGCCCTCCTTGCGCCTAAGATTACCTGCACCTGGGGCTGACTGGCTCCCATGGGCTTGCTGGGGGCCAAGCCAGGGCGTGGGATGGGGAGCACACAGAGGTCAAGCTGTCTAGAAGGCTGTTCCAGCCGCCCCTGCCCCCAGGGATGCGAGCCGGATTGGCCGCCAGCCGCGGCGCTGCTCCAGCCGCTGTGCTTGCCTGGGTCCGGGAAAGCCTCTGTGTTTCTGCTATTTCTCAGGCACCTGGAATTGCTGGGGCAGAAGGTGTGCTGTCCTGTGTAAGTCATGTTGGCTGCCAGACCTGGGCTCTGCCGGACCCCAGATGCCCGCGCCCAACTCAAGGTCACATGGACAGGAGCTGCACCTGCTCTGGGGCGATGGACAGGTTCAGGAAGGAGCCTCTGGCACAGGAATGAGTTTGTTGGCAGAGCAGGCAGCAAGGCCAAGACCCCCTCCTCCAGAGATGCAGGCAGGCGTGAGCCACACACCCACCCGATCACGAGTGACCCTCATCCCCACCTCTGCTTTTAGGTCTCGCTGGACTTTGTGAAGAGTGGGGACTACATGCTAGAGAGAATGGGGGTGACCTACGCTGCCCAGGCTCACCTGAAGTCTCCCTTCGACCCCGACAACAAGAGGGTGAAGGGAATCTACTGAGGGCCCAGCCGCCATGCCCCACCCCGTGTCCTCCAGCCATGCCCACAGGTCCCAAATGGCCCTGGACCCTGGACCCGGCCAGAACTTGGGCCCTCCCTGTCCCTAGTCTAGGCCTAGTCCTGCTAAAACCCCCAAACCAGATATGGACAGAGACCAAGAGGGCCCATCCTGGGGTCACTGATCAGAAGGTGTCAATCCACCCAATCCTCCCAGAAATCAAGCCTGAAACTGGCTTGGGCTCAGGGACCACGGCTTATAACCCTCTTCAGGCTTCTAGAAGGTGCTTAGTAAATACTTGATAAGCCCCACATGAAAACAGGGAGGCAAATAGGCTTCATCTTTTACTGCAAGCTTGACTGATCCTTGGTGGGCTTCCCTTGGCTAAAGAGCGTGAGGCTGTGTCTGGGTCGGGAAAGAGCGGTGATCAGCTGGTACTGTCTGCCATGGCGCACTTGGAGACCTGGGACCAAGGTGGTTGTGCAGGATGGTGCCTCTCGGATCACAGGTCCAATGGGAGCTGGAAAGCTCTTCTTACCTTGTTTGACCTCCCTGTTCTTCAGGGGCCAAAGCCTCCTGAGACTCAGCAGCCTGGGAACAGAGGAGCCGAAGCAGGGAGTGGGTGGGGCCTCAGATTGGTGCCTTCCTCACCCATGCAGAAGTGCCAACTCCTGCCTCAGTTTCCCTTGAGCCCCGCACTCACCAGGCCCAGGCAGGAGGGGCGTGCTGCGGGGTAAGAGCCTCAGGCAGGAGGGGCGTGCTTCGGGGTAAGAGCCTCAGGCAGCAGGGGCGTGCTTCGGGGTAAGAGCCTCGTGGAGTCCCCGTTTCTAGGTGACCTTTGTCTTTGCTGTTGATTTGGATGCAGTTCCTGCCCACACCTTCCTCCTCGCCCAGCCCCTGTGGGAGGACCCTGCCTCCGGCTCTGCCCTGCATGCTGCCTTGAGACGGGGTGGCTCCTCTGCCCGCCCTCCCTCCCTTCCCCCCATAACTGCCTGTGTGTCAGAAGTAGCTCTGCCTCTCCTGCCTGGGAGGGGTGTCCATCACTGCCCATCGCACGTGCGCAGTCCCCTCCCTCGTCCCCCCCGAGCCTGGGTTCAGATCAGGCCTGTCAGAGCTGCCCTGCGCAGTCTCGCCTGGCGTGCCCTGCAATCTGGGAAGAGTGGGTGGCAGATGCTTGGGGGGCATTGTGGAGCCAGCGTCCCACAGAGCCACACAAGCAGCAAGCGGCGATCTGGGTGCAGCAGTCCTGGCAGGCCCCAGCCACCTTTGGACGCTCCCACACCACGTGGCCCACTGTGGACTGAGCTTGAACAAAGCTACGGGCAGACGTTCGGGTTACAGACGGCTGTGAAAGGCGGGTTTGGTCCCCTGAGTCTGGGGAGGGGGTTGCGGCTGGAGAGCAGAGTGGGGGCCTCTGGCTTTCACAAGCTTCAGGCCGAAGGAACACCTGCAGCCTCCCCTCGCTCACAGGCAGGCCTGGCTCCTGGATGAGATGACTTCTTGGAGAGGAGGGGAGCCGGCTCCCCAGATGGCCTGGCCTGCTTCCTCCCGGTCTGTGGTTTGGCCACAGACCCCTGGATTGGGCCGGTGACCACATCCATCTCACGGCCTGTCCTTGGGGGAAGGCTAAGGATGACGGGAGGTCAGAGCCCAGGTCCCACTCCAAATCGCATCTCATGACTGCAGCTGGGGGACGCGTGTGACAGCACCCCTCCCTTCCTGTGTGTGCTTCCTCCACCCCTGAGGGGAGAGAGCCCGGCGCCTTGGGGAGGCACTGGGCATTGATGTGAGCACAGCCTCCACGACTCGCCTCCCAAGCTCACCACCTGCGGGCTCCACCCATGGGCTGCAAGAGGTCCCGGCTGTGCCATGGCTCCCAAACGCGCCACCCAGGGTCCACATCAGAAGACCCACCTCCCCGGACCCCAAGCCAGGTCTTCCTGACCTCAACTCTAAAACACCCTGTTTCATAGCCATTTTTAAAGATTTTTTTCTGGAAATATTGATGCCATGATGCTCACCGTGGCTGAGTACTGCCTCTCAGGAACTCCCAGCAAACTGTTTTAAACATGCCTACGCTGTGGTGGGCAGAGCTCTGTGCAGTGAAACAGCCTCAGGTATGTGAAAGGTGGGGGTGTGACCAGGACACACAACGTTCTGTCTTTTTTTTTTTTTTTTTTTTTTTTTGAGAGACGGTTCCTCTGTTGCCCAGGCTGGAGTGCAGTGGTGCCATCTCAGCTCACTACAATCTCTACCTCCCAGGTTCAAGTGGTTCTCCTGCCTCAGCCTCCCCAGTAGCTGGGATTACAGGCGCCCACCACCACAGCCTGGCTAATTTTTATATTTTTAGTAGAGACGAGTTTTACCATATTGGCCAGGCTGGTCTGGAACTACTGACCTCAGGTCATCCGCCTGCCTTGGCATCCCAAAATGCTGGGATGAGCCACCGCACCCAGCCCCAATTTTTGTATTTTTTTGTAGAGACAGAGTTTCGCTGTGTTGGCCAGGCTGGTTTTGAACTCCTGGGCTCAAGTGATCCTCCTGCCTCTGCCTTCCAAAGTGCTGGGGTTACAGGCATGAAGCACAGCACCTGACCTTGTATCGTAATTAATTTAAAATTAATTGCAATCAAAAGCAGCCACATGAGGCTAGTGGCCACCAGACAGCACAGTGCTGGAGTGCTCTGGGACCCGCTTGGGCAGGCACCCTTGTGCTGACTGGAACCTGGGGTCCAGGGCCGCTCCACCTCTCAAGGCTGATGGGCATGAGCATTCTTCATCCCACGGCTCGGACACCTCACAGATGATGGGTTGTGCCACCCTAGCAGCCCCCGCCCCCTGGGAGGCTGGAGAACCCTCTCCTCAGTGGGCAGATGGGAAGACCCAAGCCCAGAGTGGGAAAGTAACTAACTCAAGGTCACACAGCAGGGGTAGGAAAGGTGACTTGGGCTGCTGGACTCACACCCCAATAATTCAGAAGATGGGTGAGCCCAGAGAGTCCCTTTGGCGTGGAGCATGTAGGTCATTTCCAGGTAATAAAGTTCTTCCCCTAAGCCTCCAAATAGAGAACTTATTTTAGATAAAATCCCCCACAAGGGTTCTGGGGAAATCCCTGTTTCTAAGTAAGGAAACAGGTTGAGCATTCAGACACTGGAATCAGACATGGGGACACTCCGAGCTCCCTGGCTCACTCTGGGTGACCTTGACACCTCACTTTGGGTCTCTGAGCCTCAGTCTCCTCCTCTATCCATGGGAACAAACCACGTGTCTCATGGGATTGCTAGGGCTGTGCATAGCCTCAGCGTGTGACAGTGGCAGCTCTCAGCAACCACAGGGTCACACTCCTCTGGGTGTGGGAGGTGTGGGTGCTGCTGGAGCAGGGTGGCGGGGGCAATGTGGCTGCTGTTTCTGCAAGAGGAAGGGGATAACCAGCCTGAGAACGAGAGAGTGAGTGGGGGGCTGGGGTGGGGGTGGGGCTGTGGCTGCGGGAGGTTCCAGAGCTGGCTGGGATTCCCAGTCACTGGTGCTCTTGGGCCCCAGGTGAGGTGTTTATCTGGGAGTCTGTTTCCCTGCCTGTGAGATCCGCAGGCCACCAGTGCCCCTCAGGTGTTTGGGCAGGACCCTTCTCTGGGCTGGCAATTGGGCATGATCAGAGGGAAAGCGGCTCCTTGGGCCTGCTCTGCGTCCACTGCCTCCGAGACTCTAAAGATGATGGAGGGCCGGAGCGGCTCTCCAGGCTGGGGCCCAGCACTCCACAGCACTAGCGCCGCGTGACTTATGGGCCACGAGAAGCTGTGATTTATACAACATGGGGCAGAGCGCCTGGGCTCGGCTCATGAGTTCCCTTCTTGATGAAGGGCCTCGCAGAAGGAGAAGCAGTCGCGTAGCTGATGCCGGGGGACTCCGAGCCCATCCGTCTCCCCCTCTCCTCTGGAGGGCTGGGCAGCAATTTGCTGAACTGGCTGAACAGAGCCACATCTGTTACTCTCTCCAGAAGCCATCAAAGAGCTGGACTTGTCCCTAACGGAGAGACAGCTCAGAGGGCAGGAAGGGGAGACCCACCCAGGCTGGCTGAGGTGACTTCAGGACGCTCAGGGGGAAGCCCTTGGTATGACGCCTGGCACGGGGAGGAGGCTCGGGGCAAGCTTCTCTCTCCTGGAGTGACGGCCGCCGAGTGCAAACCTGTCCACGTCCAGTGGGTGCCAGCCTGAGTGTGAGCTTTATTGGCTCATTAGCCCATTTTACAGATGAGAAAAGCGAGGGTGAGGAATGTGACATGGCCCACCCAAGGCACACCTCCACGGAGTGGCAGAACCACGCTGAAAGCACAACCCTGACTCCAGCCCGGTCTGTCCGGCCCCAGCCGCACCCACAGGAGCAAGCTGGTGCGAACCATTCCATCCCCCGTGGAACCAGCGCCCAGAAGCCCCACTGGAGCTTCACCGCCTCGTCTTTTGGTGGTGGTGATAGTCGTTGTCACGGCTTCCCTTTGGGTGGGCGAAAATGTCTATTTACTCAGCAATGGAGCAATTTCCCCGACGAGTCTCTAACTAGCTAAGTGCCTGGTCCTGCCTCCGTCGCAGGGAAGCCGCCCACTGTGAGACGGCAGCCGCTCAGCGGGGAAATGTCTAAGCAGCATCCGCCGCGCACTGACACAAATCACCATCACCGGGAGCAGCGGGGTGGGGGCGGGAGCATCCGGGTGAGTCTGTGCCCCAGCCCAGCATGGCACCTGTCCCAGGGGCCTGGCTTCTGAGGCGGGACAGGGCAGGTGGAGGGCTGGACCCTGCATCACCATGCAGGTTGTCCCTGCACTGACCCAGCGGGTGTGGACGGACAAGGTCCTGGCACACTTGGTCCAGGGTAGGTCAGCAGGGCCCCCGCACCCTCTCAGCCATGCAAGGGACCCTGGGGAAGAAAGCTGGATTGGACCGTGGTCTTAGGCAGGGTGTGGTCTGGCCCCTTCATCCTGGGCATGCAGGGCTGTTCCATGGGGGCCGTCACAGAGCCAGCGTGAGCCCACAGGGACAGCACGGAGGAGGGGGAGGCGCAGGTCCCCCCTCAGCCTCTGTCCCCAACAATGCTGATGATGGTGGGGCTGGCAGGACTTGGGCACCGTCTGGGGGGGCACTGTGGGGTGGGAGCTCCCAGCGAGGAGATGACCTTGGGCAGCGGCTGCAGGTTCCATTCACCCTGCAGGGAAGGCAGCAGGAGGTAAACTGAGGCTAGAGGGCAAGATGGGTGGCTACCTCCCAGCCACTTCCCAGACACCTCTGGGCTTCTTGCCCTCACACTCAACTGGTCCCAAACCAAACTCACCCTTCTCCCCCAAGCTGCTTTTTTGGGGTCC